TGAAGCAGAGTAGTGTTTTGTCAGACTGCTCAGTCTGTATAATTTCTTGACTTTCATGGAAACACAACAAAGCTAAATTTGCGCCATAACATTTATTATATCTGGTTGAGAATCCATTGAAATTAGTTTTGCAAGGATAACCCGTATATGAGCCAGTTTCTGGAGAGTTTCCATGTGTTTAAATTGTCAGTATAGCCCAGTATGTAACCTTTAAAAGTTTGCCTGAAATTCTCCATATCCACTTCTTCTAAGGCTAGTTTTTCCTCTCTCTTCCATTAACTCATTCCCCTTGCTCCTCAAAGGGTCCTCTTGCTGTATATAAATTTTCCTTCTTGTTTCTTTATAGATAATGGGTTTTGAGCACCTTGTTTTGTTCTCCACGTTTCCCAGTTCTGCTGCGTGTCAGACTGTCCTGAAATTTCGTATATGCCAGCATCAGAATCACTTCTGCTGTTTCTTACCTTTCCACTTGGATCCATGTCCAACAGATGGAGGCTTTGAAAAGCCGTAAATATTATTCTTGGCACTAGAAAAAGGTAGTGTGGGTGTGTGTTGCTAGTAATTGGTCTCAGCTTTGTAAAAATGGTTACGTTGGTTGGAAAAGCAGCCAGGTGGAAGGTAGCATAACAGCATCTGCTCCCATCAAACTCTCCTGGGCATGTCACCATGCTAATGCTGAAACCGTGGGAACTGAAGAGGTCAGTGGTTACATGCTGGGCATTGTGTTTCTGGCACAGAAATAGTTCCTAATTTGTGCATAGAGGAGCTGGAGCTGTTTTCTTTTCTCAGCTACAGACCTGATTCTTCTCCCAGGGGAATAAGGAAAGCTTCTGTAATGACACCAATAGGAAAAGATTAAGATCTGTAAATGTAAAATGCTTTCCCATCCCTATGCGTGCTTTAGTTCTGTTTCATGAACATGGCCTAAATGCAGTCATGGACATTTACATTCTTCTGTTTCAGAAACAGATGGAATTAGGAGCTTTGCCAGCCCTTCCCTAAAGGGCTGTGTGGTCAGTCTCTAGCATAGAGTCCTTCCTTGCATTCATTTCTTTCATGGTTGTGTCAAACAAGGGTTTTAAATAAAAACAAGTGACAGCTTTTTCATGTAATTTAAAACTGCTGGAATAAATATTGCATCTATTTTCACTGCTTGCTTTTTTGATGTCTGTGATGACCTAATGTACAAGTTCTCCATTCAGCCCATAAACTTTCCATAGAAAATACTGGGGTTTTGTAATTTTGTTATAAATAAACTTCACAAGAGCTGTGGCTTTGCTTCCCAGTTTATTCCTGCTTCGTTCCTCAAACACTTGCAGCCCTATAAGACGTCTCACAGCCTTGCACTTTCCACTCCCAACTTTTTATTGAGGTACTGTTTTGCTACTAGTATGGTCACTACAAATGTAGTATTTTGCAGATCCTGCTCTTTCTGTCATGTTTTCTGCTTTGAATCAGCCTAGAATTCAAATGTGTAGTTGCTGCTTTTCTGTTTCTGCTCTTTATTCCTCCATCTCCAGGAAGAGAATAAAACCTGTGTGTCTGCTTAGATTTGATACGTGAGAGCCAGCGTACAGAACCTACATAGTCTGCCTCCTGTCTTGGTGTCCACTCAAACAGTTCTGTGGTGCTAGCTGTAAATCGGGTCTAAGCGTGCTTCCCCTGATCACTATGAAGTTGTCAGTAGCTCAGCCTTCTCTGCCTCTCCTCCTGATTTTTAAATCCTGGACCTGAGTTGTCTGTCGTTTCCTGCTCTCATTCCAAGCAATTTCAAATTCCGTACCAGTGACCCTGTAGCTTCACGTTTCATTAGCCATTTCATTCATGTTCCTGTTAATACCATTTCCCTCATCTGTCACCATGACCGTCTTTTCTTTGCATCTCTGCATTGGCCTCTCCTCTCACATTTAACATAAAGCTACTTGTCTTCATTTCCCTTGGCCCTGAAGGGCCTAATTTCACTGTGTCATCTCTTAAAAATCAAGGTGTAAAACCTAACCGTCTTCAGTCTGCAATATATGCTTGTTCCATAACTGGACAAGGATTCCTTCACCTCTCCCAGCCAGTGCCCCACCTTCCTGTTTATGGGAGCTCCCCAAACCTTCCACAAAGCTAAGCTTCCTTCTCCATATCTCTTCTGAAGAATGCTCCTTTTTCGGGATGCCTGCAAGAGCCTGAAAGCACTTTTTTAGTTCACTGTATCATGTCACACTGATAAATTCTGTGTAACTATTTCCATGTACTTCCCCATTGTTTATTTTCTTGTACTTAAGAGTCACAGAATGACAGACTCATTTAGGCTGGAAGGGATCTCTTCAGATTGTCTAGTCTGGCCCTACTGCTCAAGCAGGGTCAGCTGCAGCAGATTGCCCAGGATAGTATTTAGGCAGGTTTTGAGTATCTCCAAGGATGGAGACTCTGCAACATCTCTGGGCAGCCTGGGCCAGTGTTTAACCACCCTTGCAGTAAAAAAGTTTTGTGGTTTTTATTTTTCTTGTTTTCAGATGGAATTTTGTGTGTTTTTGTTTGTGCCCATTGTTTCTTGTCCTCTTACTGGGCACTATTGAGAGGAGGCTGGCTTCCTCTTCTTCATTGCCTCCTGTCAGGTATTTATATGCATTGATAAAACTCTCCCCCAAGTTTTCTCCAGGCTGAACAGTCCCAGCTCTCTCAGCCTCTCCCCATATGAAAGATTCTTCAGTCCCTTAATCATTGACACAAAACTGGGAGGAGCTGTTGACACTCTCAAGGGCAGAGAGGCCCTGCAGAGAGATCTGGACAAATTAGGGAGCTGGGCAATCACCAACTGTATGAAGTTTAACAAGGGCAAGTGCTGGATTTTGCACCTGGGACATGGCAACCCTGCACGTACATAGAGACTGGGGAACGAGAGGCTAGAGAGCAGCCCCGCGGAGAGGGATCTGGGGGTTCTGGTTGACAGCAAGTTGAACATGAGCCAGCAGTGTGCCCTGGTGGCTAAGAGGGCCAACCGAGTCCTGGGGTGCATCAAGCACTGTAGTGCCAGCCGGTCGAGGGAGGTGATTGTCCTGCTCTACTCGGCACTGGTGTGGCCTCATCTTGAGTACTGTGTGCGGTTTTGGGTGCCACAGTACAAAAAGGATACAAAGCTACTACAGAGTGTCCAGAGGAGAGCCACAAAGATGGTGAAGGGTTTAGAGGGGAAGCTGTACGAGGAGCGGCTGAAGTCACTTGGTCTGTTCAGCCTGGAGAAGAGGAGAGTGAGGGGAGACCTCATTGCAGTCTACAGCTTCCTCACAAGGGAAGGAGGGTGCTGATCTCTTCTCCCGGTTTAGGTTGGACATTAGGAAAAGGTTCTTCACCCAAAGGGTGGTGGAGCACTGGAACAGGCTCCTCCGGGAGGCAGTCATGGCACAAAGCCTGACAATATTCAAGAAGCATTTGGACAACGCCCTCAGACGTATGGTGTGACTTTTGGAGTTGTCCTATGTAGGAACAGAAGTTGGACTCGATGATCCAAGGAGGGTCGCTTCCAACTCAGGACATTCTGTGATTCTATGATTTTTGTGGACCTTTTGCTGGACTCACTCCAGTATGTCCACATATTCCTCATGCCGAGGAGGATGCAGTACTCCAGATGTTGCCTCAGCAGTGCTGAGTAGAGATGAAGGATCCCCTCCCTTGACCTGTTGGCAACAATTCTCCTAATGCAGCCTGGGATGCTGTTGGCCTTCTTTGGCATGAGGCTGCATTGCTAGCTTGTTGTCAACCAGGACCCCCAAGTCCTTTTCTGCAAAGCTGCTTTCCAGATCGTCAGCCCCCCCCGCATATACTGGTGCTTGGGGTTACTTTTCCCTAGGTGCAGGACTTTGCATTTTCCTTTGTTGAACTTCATGAGATGCCTGTCGACCCATTTCTCCAGCCAGGATCTTTCTGAATGGCAGCACAGCTATCCGGTGTACCAGCCTCTTCAGAGTTTTGTATTTTCTGTGAACTTGCTGGGGGTGCGCTATGTCCAGGTCATTAATGAAGATGTTGAACAGTATTTGCCCCAGTACACCACTAGAGATTTGCCTCTAACTGGACTCTTTGCCACTGATTAAAGCCTTCTAGGCGCGTCTATTCAGCTAGTTTTCAATCCACCTCCTTGTCTGCTTATCTAACCCATACTTTGTCAGATTGCCTATGAGGATGTTATGGGAGACGGTGTCAAAGCCTTACTAGAGTCACCATATATACAGCTCTGTACTCATCCAGCAAGACAGACCTCGCTGTAGAAACTATCAGGTTAGTTAAGTATGATTTCCCATTTGTAAATCCAAGTTACATTTGGGGGAAAAAAAAAAAAAAATCTACCTTTAACTGAACCAGAAAGATCCTTCTGCACGTATCCAACCTACCTTTAAAAGCTTCTCCTAGGTACCACAAAGTTCTCTCTGGTTGTGCTACTCAAAACCACCTTGCCATGCCTACAAGGCAGTTGTTGTACCACAGAGTATGATTTCCCATTTGTAAATCCACGTGGACTACTTCCAATCACCTTCTTGTCCTTCATGTATCTGGAAATGGTTTCCAGGATTACATGCTCCATCACCTTCCAGGGACTGAGGTGAGGCTGGCTGGCCTGTTGTTTCCTGGATCTTCCTTCTTGCCTTTCTGAATGTTTTAGGGCAAGTGGCTTTCCTTTTTCTTCTTTGTTTGTACTGGTGATCTTGATACATATTTACAGCTTCTATGCGCTGTGGTAATGTAATTATTAAGCAAAGCATATGATTCTCCTTTTTATTGGTAATTTTAAGCTATACAGATGCAAACTGGGAAATAGAATTTGCAGCCCAAAGTTCTGCTCCTAAAACTCAGACCTCTACCATGTGAACTAATGAGCACCTTTCTAAGAGAGAAAATAGTGTGACAGAGTATCACCCCACTGCTGATCTCTATAGATAGATAATTCCATTGTACATATTTTCCCTGGGATCATAGCTTTCTAAACTTCTATTTGCATTATTTCTCTGTTCCAGGCCGAAATGAGCTGATTGCCCGCTATATTAAGCTGAGAACAGGGAAAACACGCACAAGGAAACAGGTAAGTGTAAAGTTTTCTCTGTAAACATTAGCTTATTTGGACCACAAGACATGATGAGGGCTTATGAGAACAAATTCCTTGCTCTTCACTTGCTATTAGTTTCTGGCTTTGCTGGAAAGAGATTGTTGCGCTGAGCTGGTTAATAAGAATGGTGGGAAGAATCAGCTCAGGCATTTTATAGTAGGACTGTAATGCTCATGTCTCCCAACCACATTGTGACACACAAATTTTTCTACTGTTAAGCAGTGTGTGATTTTATTTGGTTGGTCTACTAATGTGCTTTTCAGTGAACATCAGTGGTCCTCTATATGAAGATTCTTTGTTCAGCCCAGACAGATGGACAGCAATTAGGATTTTGAAAATACCTGGGACATGGGATGAAAAAGGAATCTTTGTAATTTGGGAATGACAGTCTAGGCTATGCTGGACAAAGCACTGAGCAACCTAGACCTGCTTTGGGTAGGGGGGTTGGTGGATGGCATCCAGAAGTTCCTTCCAACCTAAACCATTCTATGATGCGTTTCAGCCCACATTAGATATGGGGAAGTTTTGAGAGTTCTGTGTTCTCATTATATAGATATGGAATATGGATTTCCCTTCTCCCAAGAGGAGGCCAAGATGGGGAGCAAAGAGATCAGAACTCTCAATCCCTTTTTAAGGGGATTTAAGGATGGGTTCTTTAGTTTTAGAGGAGGTCTCTGGCTTAATAAATCCATTTGAATTGGAAAAGGCATTAAATGGACCATCTTTGCTGGTCCCCCACCTCATTTCATGATACTTAAGTTATGTTCAGAAAAGCATCTCATTGCAACCCACCCTCCCCCTAACCCTAAATAACTCCCTATTGCACAAGGTGCTTCAAGTATGTTTACTTCTGCGAGTAGCTACCAAGTACTCCTCTGGAACGAAGATGGATTTTGTCTTTCAATGCAGGTATCTAGTCACATCCAGGTCCTGGCAAGGCGGAAAGCTAGAGAGATCCAAGCCAAGCTCAAGGTATGATGGGTATCCTTTAACATATCACGCAAGCCCCCTGAGTCAGCCATTCCCTCATCCATTCCCTCTTTGAATGGCCTTAGAAAAGGGTGAGATTAGCCACTGAACTGTAGTAAGCTGGGGAGGAAAAGGTACTTCCCAGGAAGTGTTGTGCAAACACTTGTATTGTTGTAGCTCTGTGACGTCTGGAGCAATTCTATTTAAAGAATAAAGAAACAATAACTTTAATTTTCATGTGTCTGACTTCTACCTCCGGTTTATGCTGCTGTCATCGAAGTCTGAAAGACCCTTATACTTGGGAGTATGCAAAGAGTGTTTACCTGAGAAGGAGGGGTTTACAGTCACAAATGCTGACAAGTAATCAGTCTCTGGTGTTGTGGTGGCGTTGGGAAAGGGTAGCCTTACAGTTACTGCAGTGCTAGTTCCACCTCATACTAGTGGTAGTGACCTGGAGTTGTCTGTGAGAAAGTGTTCTGAGTTGGCATAACCACAGAGAGGAAGCAATAAAGCCAGCTGGCATCTTCTCAGGTAAAATGGTGCCAGCTGAATAGACTTTGCCCCTTGATTAATACAGACCTAATTTGAAGAGGCCTGGGCTAACAAGAAACAAAATGGTTGACTATTTGTTTGAGCAAATCTGTATTTTCCTTTCTATAGGAAGAGCTCTGAGATCAGTCTAATGAACTGATACCTCTTGACATTTATTTCCACCCAGATTTGGAGCAGGGAGATGGTTTATGTGCTCAGACTGAATTGTCAGAAATGTCAAGAAGGTCAAGTTTATGGGTGACAGTTGCCCAAGAGGGTGTCCCCTCTTAGAATGTGAGCCATCCAGAAAGGACCGGCTGAGCAGGATGAAGTCATGACTGTACCCCCCACATCATATCCCCAGGTCCATTTTAGAAAACGGTGTTGTGTCTGTCATTAGCCTGTTGTGTTTCCAGCTGCTCCGAGAAAGAGAAGGAGCCACAAATTACAACTATCTAATTCAGTGCTTCTAGGTAGGGCTGCCTAAGCTTGAAACCTGTGGTGCTGTTAAATGGTCAATTCAGGCGGAGGCCTGCTTGAGAGGCAAGTTAGAGCGAGTAGGAAACAACAACTGCCCGGGGTGTTAAAAGATTTACTGCTGCTTATATCTGTAACCTTGATTCCGTTCCTTGCATGTCACAGCTCTGGGATTTGACGTGATTGAAAAGCCAGTCAGCCGAGCCTGTTCCCACTTAGCACACAGGAGCTGGCCGTTTTTGTTCTCCGGGAACGAAGGTGTCTCAGGGAGCTCCATGGAACCATTGGTTGTTCTCCTTTCACACCACCCCAGGCCATGCTGTGAGCTCTGCCCAGCTGCCTGCAGTGAACCATTCCCCAGTACCAGACTGTTCCTTTCTGCCTGCAGAGGCAAGTCTGTAGCACTGATTCAACTCATTTACTTCTTTTCTTTCACTAGTCATTTTCATAGAGCAAGGAAATGAAATCACAAAAGCTGCTACCCTTCTTCCAATAGAGCTATGTTCTTCTATCACTGTTCATTTTCCATAGCGAGTATACGTTTTCATATTTATATCCTAGAGATCAGAGCAGCTACACACTGACTTTTCAGAGCAATTACTACAATACTACCATGTCCACACAAAGTGGAATGTCTTCTCTAAGTGTGCACTGTGCTTGTAACAGAGAGAAGTGGGAAAGTAGGGTAAAGCTTGGAGAAAAATTGTTCCCAGAAGTCAGTAGTTTTCCATGTCCTAGATATCACCTGTACTAAGGAAAAAGAGGGAAACTGTGGTGGTATTATTATTATTATTATTATTATTATTATGCATCATGAGAATAATAAAAGAAAATACAAACTTTGCAAATGTTTGGTAAAAGTTTTGTTCCTTCATTTTCTTTTTTTTTGTACTGGAAACACAATACAAATGAATACAGAACTGTTAGCTGAAGGAGAAAGGAGGTGTCTTTTACAAAAACATGCTTTTTCCAGCAGTCTGTCAGGCATTTAAACAAAACTGAAAAGCACAACAGGGGTTAATAGATAAAATCTTTTCCCTTTTTAATTGTTCTTTTTTTTTTTTTTTTTTTTTTTTTCACTTTAATCCTTCCATAAGTAAATGCCTCTTCCCCATAAACTCATGTATAAACTCAGGTAGACAAATATGATTTTTCCAGTGAGAAAGCAAGTGGAGGATAAAAATCCTTTTCTGCAGTGGCAACTGGGAAATGGTCCATATGTATGTCATGATAAAACAAAAGAATCCTTACCCTTAACAAATGTTGTGGGTAATCCTGTAAACTGAGTATTCCCTAAAGCATAATTTAAACTGGATTCTGAAAAACTTTGCCATAGCTTTGGAGGATCTTAGGAACTTTCTCAGCAATTAAGATGTTTCCCTTCCATTCACTTGAATGGTACTAATACCAGTCACAGATACTGTAAAAAAGAAGATATATAAGTATTGCCCATTCCTACTGATCATTCCACTTAAACGTTATCATTTATTCTTGAGCTTTTGTTGTGCCTCCTCCAAATGTTTTTGTGTTAGACACATCAGAATCCTGGGCCTTGAACTTTAGAAAACCTTAGAGAAAGTGGAGGGGTTACAGAGAACGGAGACCCAAGGGTGAGAACTTACTGCAGTTCAATGAATGCAAGTGGGAAGTGAGAATTCCTGAAGAAGACAGAGAGAGCTTACCTCTTTCAGCAGTCTCTCCAAGCCATGAATTCATCTACGGCATTGCCATTATAATTATGATGTCACAGATAAATGTGGAGTGTTTGAAGGATGAAGATTAATTGTAGGGGATGTAGGAGGAAAGGCAGAATGTGGGGAAGTGCTTCTGTTTGTCTGTTTATTCCTTAGAAGAAGAAATGAAGAATTCTATTTGTTTTAAAGATACATCAGACCCCCTAGTTGTTGCACCATCATTGTCACTGCCTGTAAAAATGTGTACAATTCCACAGCCGTGTTAAAATACAAAAAGGAATGTCCTTGCATGTGTGCCCTGGGAGGTTATTAAGATTTCCTGTTTCCCCAGGGCTAGGAATAAAATGATCAACTTTACCTGAGACTGAGGCAGTCCCAAATTGAGGTAGTTGTTTTGCAGTGATGATGACAAACTCCTTTTGTGAGCTTGTTTTTAGAGGTTTTTTTTTTTATAAGCAAGACT